TGATGCACAAAACCAGACAAACAGACAAAAAAAAAAGGCAGGTGCGGGTAGAGGAGTAACTTGCTCTCTCCATCCCGGCCCTACTATTCAATGCAATGCAGCGCGTGGCGTTGCCCGCAGTTGGATACATCCGCGCTCCTCAAACTTTGTTGACTTTCATACTCACCCTCGTGGGCATCCTGTTGAAATGCAGATTCTTATTGAATCGGTCTGGCTGGAGACCCAAAGTACTGTATTGCTGGGACGCTCCCAGGCGTTGCTGACGCCGCTGAGCCGCGGAACACACTTTGAGTTGCAAGGATATGCCCCCACCCTGCCTCGTCCTCCCCTTCCTCTGCTGAGGCCTCTCCTGGGGAGCAGAGGTCGCCCTTTGTAACCACGCGCACAGGCCCTCAATAATTAGCTGATCTTTATGCAGCTGGTGTGGAATGAGCACGGGCTCGATTCCCAAAAGCCCTGAGAGGAAGTCAGAGATAAGTCCTTGGTTTGCATAGGCCCATTCTCAACCGGCAGGTTTAGTGTTAAAGGAAGGTGCCTCCCTGCCCCAAGATACCTCTGTCCTGTCCTTGCCCGCCTCTGGCACTCCCTCCCTGGAGAGAGACGACTAGCAGCAGGACTTGCGCTCCCGGAGGCCTCTGCTGCCATGTAGTGTTACCTGCACTGGAGAGAGCCTGGGCCTCGCCCTTCACCTTCTCCTGGTAGCTGCGATGCCTGGCCTTAGCTGATAGTTGATTTGGAACGCGCGGGGAGCCTGAGGTCCCCCCCGCGGTCCGCAGTGATGGCTGCACAGGAGTTTCCTGGGAAGATTTTTAAAACCCAGGTGCCCAGGCCGCACTCAAAGACGATTGAATTAGAATCTCTGGGGATGGGACCCAGAGTTCAGGAGTTTTAAAAGCTCCCCAGGTGATTCCAATGTTCGGGGCTGAGGAAAGCTGCTCTACGCAGCGTAATAATGGGGGAGGGGACAGAGTGGGGAGGAAATCAGCAGGTGTTTCATAAGATCAGAATAATTGTATTGAGAAAAAGGTAGGGATCAGGGAGTTAAAGAGGAAATTAAATCAATAGAATTGTAAACCTAATTCTGGTGTGCGGTGCCTAACCAAGGACATCCTCATCTCTGGTCACACTGAAAAGTTATGGTAGAGCGTAATAATGGAGGAGGGGACAGAGTGGGGAGGAAATCAGCAGGTGTTTCATAAGATCAGAATAATTGTATTGAGAAAAAGGTAGGGATCAGGGAGTTAAAGAGGAAATTAAATCAATAGAATTGTAAACCTAATTCTGGTGTGCGGTGCCTAACCAAGGACATCCTCATCTCTGGTCACACTGAAAAGTTATGGTAGCAGGAGTGACTCAAGGTTCTCTGCTCAAACTTGGATTTCAAAAAACCAGGGAGGTAGACTGTCTGGTGGCCCAGCCAAA